TGTTTTTTCTGCTAAGAAAACAGTACCCAAAGCAGCTCATCGACATGAATCGCAGACTCGGGGCATTCACACCTTCGTAAACCCTAAAATAACACAGTTTAAGGAGGTCTATTGGGCGACCATCACAATACGAATAGTTTGCCTACTCAAAACTGGTTGACAATTTTGTTGTCTCCGTAATTTCTTGGCAATTTTTACAAGGTTTGAGTGGGCAGAATGCACACCAAGTTAATGCATTCCTCATACACACCTCCTCCATCGTGGCAATAAACAGTGCGCTTTGCTGGTCAGTCTTATTCAAACGTGGAACAAGAGTGTAAGACAATCAGCTCTGTAATGGCAGCGTTGAATGTCGGGTTTGATGGGGAGGGAACTGCTGTGTGAGGTTCACAGAGTTTGGCATTGCGTGGCCCAATGTGACTCACATGGGCGAATAAAGCGGCTGTTTTTGTAAAACCCTGTTACCAAGGTGTTGGTTAAAGGCAAACATGCAGACATCCACAGGTCGTTGTAGGAACGTGACATTTTGAAGTCTGCCGTTGCTGGTACTGCCACCTTGCACAGATTTGACTGCCAGTAGCGCTTCAGTACATGCAGCACCCCGCAATTCCATTTCCACCACTCTCCTCGACCCACTCAGAGACTGGCGCTTTGTTGGCGTCCAATTACTAGTCTGTGGTCAGTTGACTCCATTCCCATAGGTGATTGTCTAAGATGTGCGTGCATGGGAAGGTTCACGGTGCCGCTTGCGTGTAGGAGCATTTCGAAGAATCCGTTTTTTTGATAAACGAATTCCACCCCTATTTCGTCCACTTTTTATGTCTTGCATGGAAAGATGAAGCCAAATCGACGCGTACGCCGTTCATTCCACGTATACGTCCAACGACAAGCAAAAGCGTTGGTGCCTTAGTGATGCCTTCAGCCTCACTCCCATTACAGCCTCTTTCCAACATGACGCATTTGTGGGCAGGAAATGAACTCGTTAAGTCTCCTTGAAGTCCTTTTTATGGAACTACGTGTCTAGCGAGTGTCAGAGTTTCACAGCAAACTTAAGACGCCTCTTTTTGGCTTCCTTAACCACATCCAACAATTTCACACAATGTTAGTAAAGTAGTCGTCACGAGGGACTTGATAAAACCAGGAAATCAGTCCAATTTAGTCTTGGAGTATCACAGTGGGGTTGGAAAGAGCTGTTTGACAATGCAAATGTTGATTAGCCAGAGTGGTGAATGCAATCCTTCCTCATCACAGATGGACAGCACTCAAAGGCCCTGCAAGGCACACTCGGAGGTAGCATTGTTCGAATTCTCGAGGACGTCAGAGTGCTCTGAGTGACGAATAGCAAAACCTAAGTCAAACTCAATGTACACATCCTCAGTGTGTTTTGTTCTTTTTTAACTTGAATGGATTTTAAGTGTGTTGAGATTTTTTTGGGCTGTCTATCTCACCTTCTTACACCACAATTCTGTACTCCTGTTAGCTCCTAACACCTCTGGAAGGATCCTTTTGCGTGGAGTTCAGTCGTTGACCTTTGAGACACCATTTTTGACTGGAAATTGGTTCCATTAGCACAAAAATTTCGCACAGAAAACGAGATTTTGAAGTGTTAGTGATTAGAGGTTAGCCATTGTCTTTCACCATTTCATGCAATGCATGCCAAGGGTAAAATGGGGATAAGTTGGATTGACAAGCCATCGAAACCTGAAGGGTCAACTTTCACATGAAGTGCAAGAATAGTGCGTAAGATTTTGAGGTGTTGGCGCAGTACAAGGCGCCTGGAGCGTCATTTAGAAAAATTTTGGTAATTTTAGTCGTAATAAGACAAAAAAATTCAGCCATACTTCGGAAAGTTGTCAGCAATTAATCCTTGTCTGTCATTTACCAGAGAGACATTGTCTCGAGTCTAAAGGCAAACACAAAAATTGTGCTTGCTTCCATACTGTGCCACTAATATCAAACCTCAAGGAGAGGGGCACCTAAAGACGGGAGTCCGCTTCCACACACACAAACGCACTCTTGTCCAGTTTACTTGGACGGTTGAAGGCTTGGGGCGGAGGCAGCACTAAGCGTGTGACAGCGCGATGTTTCAATTTGCGCCGGTGGTGTTGGGACTTGCTAGACTGTACGCGCCATACACAGTGTGGAAGACAGCAAAGTGACGCACAGACTGTCAGTGCGAGGGGACGGAGTGGATGAGGCTGGTGCGTAGTCCAAAGTTTTTCGGGATGTTGACTTACTGTCTAACCCTAACAAAAGCGGTGAGCCCATCTGACAGACGCTGTGTTAAGGCGACTCTCGTATCCATCATCTTAATGCCTACAATACGAATACGGACAAAATAAAACCACATGTTTTTATAGTCTGTAGGATTATGCACTCAAAAATGCAAGGCATTGCTTACATTAAAGCTTTTTTGCACTTACAAAACCATTCCTTGAATTAGTATTAGAAAATGCTAATTTTTTTGACAAGCTGGAGATTTTTATGACAAAAGAAATGGTGGAGCAGTCTTTATCATTTCAACAAACAAAAGTTCAGTTCCTGTACCTGCTAGTGCGCTAACTCGATGACATGAGAGGCACCACTGAGCACCAACCTCCATGTTTCCCACCATTGGCCACACTGCCCATTCCGAAGGCCACTACATCGACACATGTCCTTCTTCGTCGTTGCGCCAACTGCTGAACCACCATCGCGTTTGCTTCACCTCACCGGCGAGCGCTTGCCATCTCATGTCAGTGGAATCACATGAGGATGGCCCGTCTCCTTCCCTCCCAAACCACTAACGACAGGTGGTGGTGGAGGTGGTGGAAGCTGCACTGTGCTCACAGTAACATTGACCTCATCCTCATCCCCATTCCGTGTTGTCATTTGGCAGTGCAACACAACACACTTCACACCAACAGTGTCACCTTGATTGTGCCTCCAAGCGTTGCTTCCAACTCGGTCAGTGAGCAGTGAGTGTGTGTGGATGGGGAGACGATGTTGAAGGGAGAGGGTAAGGCAGAGGAGGTGGCTAGTGGTGTGATGCGAGGTTGTACAACGAGAGGCTGAGTAGGATGGAGGGGTGAGCAGTGATAATTCATTGGGCTCATTTGATACGGAGCACCGGGTGAAGTTTTCTTGCAAAGAGTCTGGACAAATTAATTTCTCAAGTAAAGATTTGGTTAAAAATTCAGGCTACAAAGCAAGGGAATATTACCCACCGAATAAAATATTTTCGAAGTTTGGGGTTATATGTTCTTGAGACGCACCTAACATCTAAATTTGCGATTAAAACAAATAAATTGAATTAAAATTATTTGCTGCACAACATTGTGGAGTGGTAATGACTAAGAAGACGTAAGTAGGAGAAGAGGCTTTCTAAAACCCATGTTGAATCCAAACGGAGATGAATGGGAGAGATAGAGGGATATTGAAGAGCCGTGGTCTGAAATTGGCACACGCCAACCATTAGACGGTAATTGTTCCCTTCATAACATCGGCTTCTTCGGTAGGGGAAAGGCGGTTGGTTGTCTTTATGGCTTTCTGGGCCGATGCGACTGCTACTGCAACGATATCAGTAGCGCAGACGGCGTCCAGAGGTGGATATGATTGTGGCACAGTTGCCTCACATACCTTTCGCGTCCATTGCCACTAAACTCCACCCACACACTGCAATCCGCGAATAAGTGGTGCAGGTGGCTAATGCGCAAACCAAAATGTCCACCCTAACTACTGCTACGAGTATGTGCGAGTCTGCGCTTAAATGATACTACAAAGACTTCAAGACTTCAAGTATTGGGA